AAAGAGCAGTTGTGAAGGTGGGAGAGGCAGAGCAGGCTCCTTTTGGGTTGAAAGACAGCATTATAGTTCATGCTCCAGCTGGGGACGCTGCCCGGAGGAGCATCCTGCAGCACATGTCACAGCAGGGACGCATCAATGTGAGCCCCAACACTGACAGCCCCCTCAGTCTGGGGAGCCAGAAGGAAGTGTGAGCTTCTGTGAAAAACTGAGAATAATTTAGCACAGACCAAGCAAGTGCACTTTTTGTCATTTTTTCAAAATACCAGAGGGCAAAGGCTTCATTTCTCCTTTCTGTGTGGTTTAAGATTTCATTTTATTCTGACAGGAGGTGACAGAAGAAGAAAGAATTAAAAAAACCCCACAAACCCAAGTGACAAGAAATTACATTTAATTGACTAACAGCAATGCAAAGCCTGAGGAGACAGTAACCGTGAGCATCACCAGAGGACAGACCCACCTCGTTGTAGTAAGGGCAATTGGTCGACTCCTTCATGGATGTGTATTTCTTTTCCTCTCCCACCTCCACGCAGACCACAGGGTCCATGTTGAGCCCCACCAGCTGCCGGGCCTCAATGATGGTGATGCTGACCTGGGGAGAGGGATTTGAGCATCTTCACCTCCTGAGAGCAGCATCGGATGCTGCTCGCTGCCTTAATCCCTGTCTTAACCCCTATTCCTGTACGTGGTATACGAAAAATAAACCACTTTCAACAGAATAAGAGCAAATCATGCATGTATTTATGACATAGAAGTTTGCCATTTACAATTCAACCCACCCTGTGATGTTAAATGAATATTAGGTATTTAGATGGCATCTAAATTCCTTTCGTGGAATAATAAATTCATATTAGGAATTCCTGCTTAGATTATACCTAAATTTCTTGATTTAGGTAAAAATCAGAAGGTGTATTTCCATGTAGGTAACAAATCCTTTGAATTTCTAGCAGTCATTTTTCTAACGTCATCAGAAGTTGATGGTAGGACAGGTAACATCCAGGCTCCAAAGCATAGTGAATTTGAGTCTCTTTTAAAATTATTATTATTAAATAACTTGAACTCTCAGTCCTGGCTACCTTGAAGCCCGACAAATGAGTTAATTTACACGTGCCTTCTCTAACTATCATGAGTTATTTCTGTAACTTGAACTCAGCTTTCTTTTCAATGATATAGTAATGGAAAACAGAAATCTGTTAAAAATTACTCTTATCTATATGGGTAATTTTGGGGAAATTTCACTTTGGTAACATATTAAGAGGACCTTGTGTTCCTTCTGCCTCTTGGCTGTAAATTGTTTCGCATCTTCCCCTCCTTTTTATGTTCTTTATGTTCCTCGCTCCTGAACCAAACACGCTCATTCCCTGCAAGCCTCACAATTTGGTCTGCAAAGGCTTGGCAATAAATCCCCAAAACCAACAACAACAAAACCATTATTTGCATTGTTCCGAGGATATCCCCAGGAGTGTGTTGCTGTGCTGAGAGGTGAGGCCATAAAGCTAAATTGCTGCTGAATCGGCACAATTTGGCAAAAATGAGAAGAAGAGACAGTTTATAAATCATGCTGGTATCAACTAGTGAAAGAAAAGGGAGCAATAGGGATCATCTGAGCCTTGGGAAAAGAAACGTGTGGTTCTCCTGACTCCAGATAAGGTGACAGGAAGGGAGCATCACTGAACAGGACAACAGCAGCCAGGTACCAGCCTATCCGAGGAAATCCAATGGGCAATGTCCTGCCAGCCAGGGCTCACTGGTCCTGAATACCAAACAGCATCATGAAAGCTCCTGGGAAGTGAGAAATGTCTTGGAGATGGCTTGTTTCCATCACTGGTTAGTCTGGGCTCCACACGATGGACAGCAAAACCAATTAATTACTTAATCTTGGGCTTACCGCTCGACCATTTAAATGCCAGCTCTTGGGAAGTCACAATTCATGAGTGCAGCACATTGAAACCCATCATGAACTTGTTCCCTGCACAATGGTCCCCCCGCCCCTCGGGTTGTGACCCCGGTGAGCTGAGCTTGGGGACACAACGTTGTCACCTACCTGGTAATCCATTGGCCTCCCAGCACTTGGCTCCATTTTGATGTCAGGCTTGGACCTGTGGAAGGGCAGAAGAAACCCTCGGTTAAACCACAGATGGACTTGATATGAGCGGGCATTTGCAGGGTCACCCTTCGAAACTCCTGACCTCTTTGAATCTGAGGAACATAAACCCTGGGGGCTGTGAAACACCACTGAACATTTAGGGGCTGGTAGCTAGTGATAGAACAAGGGGCAATGGCCTCAAGTTGCACCAGCAAGGTTTAGGTTGGATATTGGGAAGAATTTCTTTACTTAAAGGGTTGTCAAGCACTGGAAGGGGCTGCCCAGGGAGGTGGTTGAGTCACCATCTCTGGAGGTGTTTAGAAGACGAGGAGATGTCATGCTCAGGGACATGGTCTAAAGATAGATTTAGGGCTGGTTTGATGGTTGGACTCAATGATCTTAAAGGTCTTTTCCAACCAAAACTATGATCTATGATTCTCTGATTGGTGCTCTTTGTAGAGCAGATTGGGTATTTCCAGAAAACCACTGGCTACATGGGGAAATATGGTCTCCAACATGCCCCAACTCGGGAAATACATGACTGTGGGGTGTCTGCCAATGTGCCCTCACTTCTGGGCTTGCACAAGCTCACGCCTGACCCTCACCTCTTGTTCGAGACATTGGTGGTGACAGCAGTGACAGAGGCCAAGGAGATGGTGTCTGGCTCCAGTCCACATCCCTGTCTCATGGCTTTTCGGTCCAGGTCTTCTGCCTCCAAAACAGCGGGTTCATCTGCATCAAGGAGACAAAAGAATATCTCTTATTCTTTCCACTTTGTGAATAATTAAAGGCGAAGAGAAAGGTAACCAAGACGTCCTATCAACTTCACCTCACAAAGAACAATGGTGACCAGGTCAGGTCACGGACAACCTGGTCTGAAAAGGGATTAAAAACCGAGGTATTACCTACAGTGACATGTTATTCCACCTGGGCAGCATGCCTGTGCATGGTTTTGTGAAGGTAAAAAGAAGATGGAAAATGTCACCCCAGACTTCAAGGGATGGAAGAGCACTTCAGCAAGCGTTGCAGCTCTAACTACCAGAAGTGCAGTTGAAAACACAACCACCCCTCTAGCTTTGGGGTAGAGAGGTCTGAAAAAGAAGCAGGAGAAAGGGGTTATTTCTCAAGAAGAAAAATTGCTCAGGGAGGGTCAAGACGCCAGATCCCTCCATCGGTTGGAGTTTCTATTGGAAGAAGTTGCTGAGATACCCCTTTCCTGTGCATGATCTATGGGCATGTCATGCCTGCCCCTCCTGCCTTTGGTCTGGTCAAGAAACGACCATAAAGCAGCAATGGTTTTATTCTGTTGGGCCAAAAAACCTTTATAGGTTTTGGGTCACTGGTTTGCTTTGGTGGCACAGCTGGGTGGCACCGAATCCACCCGTACAGCACAGACTCTGGTCCTGGGAAATGGGTTCCCCGTCTCTTTACTAACCTAGGAAAGCTTCAGGAGACCAGAAATCAGGTTTTTCACCTTAGTCTCGCCTGTTTTTGTGAGATAACAAGGGCTTCAGATGAAGTGAAGGAGATTTAGGACAGGAGTTAGGAAAAGCTCTCCATCTGCATAGAAAAAGACACTCTACTGCAGGTTGGGTGGGGAAAGGCTGTCCTCAACTCAGCTGGGAGTTTCTGAGAGTCAGAACCATTGTTTTTTGGTGATTCAGTGGGTCTGTTTGACCTGAGCAGGACCAGCAGCCTGTATGGGAGGAAAGCAGACCATGGCACAAGAGGGATGCTGGCTTGGCCAACACAAGTTGCAACACATCCGACCCATCCCATCACCAGTTGGGCAGACCAAGGGTAGGAATCATGCCCATCCATGAAGGCACTGTGCTATTTGACCGTGCACCCTGGTCCTGCATTTGCATCCCAGCTGCTTTCTCCATGGTCTTGCATGAAGCTTTAACTACAAGATGAATGCCCAGGCACTGGGGAGAGAGGGAGGTCACCCAGGTTTCCATGCCATGCTTTCCCACAGGGTGCCAATGCCTCTACCTATGCTGGTATCCCAAGCAAAATTCCCTTTTTAGCATCCCAGACTGGTTTGGGTGGGAAGGGAGCTCACAGCCCCCCAGTGCAACCCTCATGGGCAGGGACACCTCCACCAGCCCAGGCTGCGCCAAGCTCCGTCCAACCTGGCCTTGGGCACTGCCAGGGAAGGGGCACCCACAGCTTCTCTGGGCAACCTGGGACAGGGCCTCACCACTCTCATAATGAACAATTTCTTCCTTATATTTAACCTAAATCACCCTTTTTCAGTTTGAAGCCATCCCCCCATGTCCCATCACTCCATCCCTTGTCAAAAGTCTCTCTCCAGCTTTCCTGTTCCCTTCAGGTCCTGGAAGGTGCTCTAAGGTCTCCCCACAACCTTCTCTTCTCCAGGCTGAAATACCCTCAAACCTGGCTGAAAAACAGTGGAGATTTGCCCAGAAACCCTATCTAAAGCAATGCTTTGTTCTTGCCTGCAAACATGCATTCCCCATTCCTTTGCCTTTGAAACCAAATCCTTTGGTCTGAATGGAAACAACCACAAATTTCCAATTGCTGACCCTGCCACACGTTTCCAGAACGGCGTCCGATTTCACCACTGCCGTGGTGCTGAGCACGGGGACAGGCTGAGCCTTTCCTCTTGCTGTGCTGTTACATCCAGCAAGGTATAAGGGCTAAATTCTGCTTTGCATTGTCACATTTGCCAATTGCCCCTTAAGTATAAGCCAGAAGCTGCCTGTGTGGCGGTTGGCCACTCACACAAGGTGAGTGATATCTGGCCATGCTTTCAGAAGAAGACTCTCTCCACCAATTCCTACTTCCCATTTCCCTGCAGAGCCCCTCTCTCCACTTCTCCACCTGAGCACCCAGCATCTCCTGACTGGATGTGCCCAACGCGAGCCACTTTGGGGACAGAATTTTCAGTAAGGCCTGTAGCTATAGGACAAGCATGGTTTGATGTTTGGAGTTGATGATTTAAAGGTCTTTTCCAACCAAAAGCATTCTACGATTCTGTATGTCTAAGTAGGGATGGTTTTAAACTTAAAGAGGGGAGATTTGGGCCATATATAAAGAACAAGTGGAGTCACCATCCCTGGAGGTGTTAAAACAACTTGTAGGTGTGGTGTTTTGGAAGATGGTTTATTTGGTTTGGTGGTGGTGGGTCGATGGTTGGACTTGATGATCTTAGAGGCCTTTTTCAACCTTAATGATTTGATGATCCTATAACATTCTTTACTCTGAGGGTGGTAGAGCACTGGCACAGGTTGCCCAGAGAGGTGGTAGATGCCCCATCACTGGAAACATTCAAGGCCAGGTTGGATGGGGTTCTGAGCAACCTGGTCGGGTTGAAGATGTCCCTGCTCATGGCAGGGGGTTTGGACTGGATGAGCTTTAAAGGTCCCTTCCAAGCCATTCTGTTATACTATGGGGTCTCTCAGGTGCTATCCCGTGAAGAACAGCCAGAAAATGGCAGCAGTGCAGGAACAACCTCCTCCCAGGAACAAAGTACCTTGTTTCCGATGGTCATCCTTTGATGGACGCGTCTTGCCAAGCTTCATGGCTGAAAAAACTCCTTTCCCGGCTCTGGAAGAGGAGAGGGAGAAAAAAACACCACAAACAACCCCATAAATAACTGTATTTTTAGTGCTGTTTTCTGGAACTTGGGGGTAGGAACAGGAGGAGCCTTTCACAGCTCAAAAGCAAGAGAGGAAATATTAGAGTCAAGATTGCAGCTCAATGCACTGCCTTTGAGTCTTTTTTTGTCTGAAGGGATACTCCAAATTGGGATAAAACATAAGGCTGGAGCACAATGAACTCTTCCCTCCATCCCTCCCTCCCATCTCTGCTGCCAGCCCCTGCTGTGCACAGACTTCTCATCTCTCCAAACCCGGTTGTGTGATTGCTCCCCAGGTACCCAAAACCATTACCTGAAAATTAGAACACCCAACTGCTTCCCCCACCTCCTTGCTGTGAAAAATCAATAACCTTTTTGGCTAGATCAGCAGCAAACCTGTGCAGATATGAAAGTTTCTCAGCAGCCCATTGCAGCAACGTGATTTTTTCCCCTTCCAACATTGTAAATACCAGCACCAGGTCAATCTTAGCACCCCGACTGCAACCCAGACTGAGGTCAAATTAACTCAGGACGGTTTTGGCTGGATTGGCTGATAAAATAAGGATTTGCAAATGGTTTGCCAGTTGCTTTCTGAAAATATCCATCATTTCAAGGCGAGTTTAAGGCTTCTAGGTCCAAATGTTTCAGTGGGGCTAGGGCTGTTGCTCCAGCTTAGAAATCACCCCATGCAGCCACAAATGCATTGGTACTCAGGGCTCCTATGTCACTTGATGTTTGTTAGAGGTACAGCAAAAATATATGCAGCAAATGATAGGATTTCAAACTGCTCTCAAATGCAGATTTAGCAAATGGGCAGAGACTGTTAAAGGTCAGAGAAATGGGTTCCCTGTCTCTTTACTAACCTAGGCAAGCTTGTAGCTTGCTCCAGGAGAAGAGAAATTGGGTTTTTCACCTTAGTCTGGCCTGTTTTTATGAGATATCTTTATTGTTAAAGATAATAAAAGCCTTGCGGTTATTATCAGGAGACTGCTCCTTGTTATTTGGAGGTAGGTCCATGCTGCTGTTGCAGAGAGGTGGGAGGTTCTGAGTTACCCTGGTGAAAGTGATGGAGTTTGGATGTAGTGTGGGATTTTTAGCTGAAAAACTCAGTAGGAAAAATATAAAATCTAAAAATCTAAAATAAATCTATACAATAGCTATCTGTAAAACTGAAACCAGCAAGGAGCACAAGTTAGTGCAATAACCCTGCTCTAACATTAAAGAACAGGCAGCTGGAGAGAGACGTGAAGGCAATGGCCTGGGACCATCCCAAAAGCAGAAGATGCTAAAGGCAAAAGGGAATTTTTGCTTAAATTGGAAAATTCCCATTACATGGAAGAGTTGCTCTTTGCAGAAACCTTGCAGGTTTGATGGAGGTGTTCTTGGGCCAGCTTGGAAGCAAGGGGGAACCTCACCTCCAGTTTGGACCTCACCTCCAAGACTGGGTACCAGGGCTCAGCACCAGCCCTGAATGCAGCAGGATTGGGCTGCGCTGCCCATGAGCTGAGCAACATCACCGAAATTGCAAAATCCCTTGGTCGTAGCCTTGATCACATCTGGCTGGGACCAAATTATGAAGTTGCACCCTTTATTTTTGCAAAACAGAGATTCCTGGCATTGCAGCCAGCCCGATGCATTTGTTATCTTCAATAAAAACCTAGAAATTCGTAGGATGCTGACAGAGCCAGAGCAAAACGAGGAGAAAATTAAGGAGAATAGGAGGATAATGTATTCACCAAGGGAGGGGGGAGTTCAATCGGGGCAGGAGGCCAGCACGAGATCCAGGAACTATTTATAGCCTAGGTTTAATTGGGACTAAAGCAAAGCTCAGGCCTCAGGGCAGTCTCTGGTAGCTGTGATTAATTCCCTGGATCCTCAGTGAAAGAGCAGTTTCCCAATGGATAGAAGGAAGAAAGACGAGGAGTAGGTTTCTGCATCTGTCATCCTGCCAGGGAACATCTGCCTTGAGGCACTACGGAGCGAAATTAGCACTTTTAAGCTATTGGCAAACTCATTTTTTAGGAGCAACTGCTGTAACAGCTCAGGGTGTGAAACTCTGCTCTGAGACCGCTCTCCATCGCCGAGTGTGGGAAATCCAGCAGACACACAGCGAGACACCGCATTTCCAGGGTTGGTTACGTTACATTCCCTTCTTCCCAATTGATTTCTTAAAAAAGGAGGAGAAAAAAAGAAGAAAAAAGATCTCACCGGCCCTAGAGCTAGCATGCAGGTAATGTGCTCACAATGGTTAGTGATAAAATCACTGTATTTGTCCTGGAAAAATTCTGAGGTTTCTTAGGAAGTAAAACAAAGCCACAAAGCAACTGGTGGTGGAGCTATGGGATTCTGCAGGGAAGATACTGGTGATGTTGGTCCTCTACTGGGATCCAAAATAACAAGCACTGGGGATGCTTTGGGTCATGGCAAGCTCAGCATCTGATGTCCCTATCAGTAAATCGATCTGGTTTTGGGCCACGTGGAACAAGATTGGGATTAAGCACTCGGTTCAAGGAGCATGGACTGAGACCCATCCCAGCAGCACCAGTACAACCCAGCTCCTTCCCAAGGGACGCATGTGGGAGCCAGTGACACCCCCATCCCCTCCTGGAGCCGTGACCGCTCTTTGCCTCAATAAACGTGCTGAGGACATTGGCTGTAGGAGCCTCTCATGTATCCCCAAAGGCAGTTTTACTGCAGAAGAAGGCCCAGAAATGGGGACTTTTACCACATCTACAAGATGAGTCTCAGCTGGTTCAAAAAGCAGAGTCCGGAGGGCACAAAGTCCCTAAGTAAAATTTTCTGGTGGCATAAAACCTCAGGTGCTGTCCCCACGCCCACATCTCGGCTGCATCTCCCTGCTGCTCTTTGCAGCCCCAGTTACAACATCTGGCATTGCCTCCTCCCTCCACCACTGCCCTTACTGGTATTATCGCAGTGGACTGAAGTCCTAGGGAGGCAAATATCTAGGAAATAACAGAATTTGGAGGTCACCAAGAAAAAAAAAGTAAAGATTTTGGCAGCACACTTGGTACGTGCTGAGAAGGGAAGAAGTGAAGGATGAGCAAGGAGCTGTCCTAGATGCTTTGGAGCAGATGCCCAGCAGCTCACCGTTGTCCCCAGCCCCTTCCCAAGCCCCATCTGTCACCCTGTCCAAGCCAAGTGAGCACAGACACATTCCATACACCCCCTCTTCCCATCCCCTGGGGGTACTACCTTCACCCGCCAGCCGTCCAGGATGTGGCTTCCCCCAGGAGGAGATACTGGAAGAGCTCAGCTGAGAGGAGAGCGGCCAGCAACACGTCTATGGCGGTGGGGCCATCCCAGTGCCCAGGTCAGAGCTGTGCCCCATGGGCAAGTGGGGACCCAGCAGGGATGGAGACCCCAGCCAAGCTCCCTGCTGGGCACAGCGGGGTCTTCGCAGCATTAAACAAAGGTTGTGGCAACCCCTTCACTGCTCCTGCCAGGCATCCGATGGCTCCAGTGGGAAGCTGGTGCTGGTGGAGAGCTGACACCGTCCCCACATCAATATTGCATGAGGACAAGCGAACATGAGATGCTGACACAGGCTGTGCGGCAGCACCGCGAGCCTCTGCTTTTGCCAAAACCTGTGTTTAGCCTTGTTTCCTACAGAACCGAGATGCTGGAGGGGATGGTGCTGCCCTCCAAAACACTGCAAGCTGCTGGCCCATGGCAACCCGGTTTGGCAGCAGGGTCAATGTGAAGATGTGGCACTTGGGGACATGGTTTAGTGGGCATGCTGGTGTTGGGTTGATGGTTGGACCTGATGATCTTAAAGGTCTTTGCCAACCTTGATGATTCAGTGATGATTCAAGACTTGGGTCCTGCAAGTTTGAGGGTAGAGGACCAAACACCTCAACTCTGTTTCCAAGCAGGGACATGGCTCCAAGCATGCTGAAACCTGTATTAGACACCAGAGCATCCACCCAGCACTCTCCCCTTGGATTTTCTGGTGTCTAATATGAGATTGAGCAGATGAATTACCCTCAGTTGATGGCAAAGCTTCTGTTTAGCTTGCTTCTAGTTAAAGATATTGTTGCAGGTTACTGGTTAATTATTCATGGCTGAAAAGGACATTTTAATCATTGCTTTTAACTGGGGAGTAGGGAGCAGAGTTTCCATGGCTCATTTCTTTGCAGGAATTATGCCCATGCTGCCTCCATCATCCCCCTGCTAACAGGACTTCCAGTTCTCCCACTGAAGACCCCAACACCCAGATCCAGCCTGCTTCTCCCAGACACCCAAATTGGGGAGGGGACCCAGCAAGGGAGATCCCTTCCCATCTTTTCTGGAGTCTGCTCTCTCCTCACTGACTGCTTGAAGACATTTTTTTTCTCTGTTCTCCATCTCTACCCCCTTGTTTTACACCCTTAATTAGGAGGGTCCATCAGTAAGATACCACCAGAAACTGGTCCATAAACAGCTGCAGTGCAATAAATACGAGCCAGAAGAGACCTCACTGATTGGGAAGTGCCCTGCAGGGATCACTTCCTGAACAGCTGGAGATTTGAGCTTAGATTTCAGCAGATCTGCCAAGCCAGAGAGCTGGAGTATGCTGCTGTTGGGAGACAGCACACACACAGCCTGATCTGGTATCAAAACAAGCAGCTGGGGATAGAAGAAAGGCAGGAGCTGAAGAAACCTGTCTACATGGATGATGTGACAGCACGACCTGGGGGCACAGGAGCTGTAAAGCTGGTGCTAAGTCCCATTTGCTGATGACCTTCACCTAGACCAACTCCTGCCCCAACCCCTGGCCAGGCTGTCCATGCCCAAGCTGGGAATATCCTCCCTCCCAGTCAGGACCCATCCAAAGCTGGATGATGGGAGCCAGGACCCATCCAAAGCTGGATGATGGGAGCCAGGACCCATCCAAAGCTGGATGATGGGAGCCAGGACCCATCCAAGCCCGGTGATGGGAGCCAGGACCCATCCAAAGCTGGATGGTAGGAGCCAGAACCCATCCAAGCCTGATTGGAGCCAGGCTTCTCTCAAGACCTCACAGCTCCCTTCCAGTGCTATAAGGAACCATTCCAAACCTATCTTTTACATTTGGCATTTGCTGTAGACATAATATTATATATCTATATTGCATTATATATAATATTCCCTGCAGGTTCCAAGGTCTCAGGCCACACACCCAAGAGACTCAAGTTCCTCCAGGACTGATGAGCTCAGCTTTAGAGAAAAGGAGAGCACACCATGCACCAGATCAGACACAGCACGAGCTGGGAAAGCTGGAAACAAGAAGGAGAAAGAGCAAGGAGAGCAAACCTACTTGTGCTCCTTCGTCTTCTCTTTGCCCTTGCTGGAGCCGGTGTCCGCGCATTGAGGGAACAAAAGGCAAAGGAGCTTCAGTGCACTTCAAATATTTCGATGAGACCATAAAACCAGAAACAGCTCTTTGTTTTGCAGCTTTCCTGCTCCTTATGAGTGCTCCAAGCACCTCATGGACAACCTTCTTCAGCAGGGCTGACCCCAAACATGCCTGTCCTGCCTACATCTGTAATTTAGGTGGATAACACCTCTGGGAGATCCTCTGCTAGGCTAGAGGGGCTTAGGAAAACCACAATTCCCCACACCTGGAGCTGGAGGTGATGGGCATTCACTGAATGGGGTCAGTAAGGCAGCTACAGCTGTGCATGCACAGATTGAGGATGCTCCTGGTGCAGGAGACCAGGCTTCCTCTCCTTTTTGGTAGAGGGCAGTGGTCTTCCTTATCCTCCCACAGAAAAGTATTCATATCCTCCCTCTGGAGAAGACTCACCTGGAGGAGATGGGTTGGATCTGGGGTCCTCCTGTCCTGATACCATGGAGGAAACACCAGCTCCTCACTTCCTTGTGTCACTTTGCAGACCCCTGCTTTGCCTCTGCTCTGGCTTTTCAAAACCATTTTCCTTCCCCCATTTTTCTATTTGGATCCTGCCTCCCTCTTTTCCTCCCCAGTCACTCTTTCTTCCCTGGCTAATCTCCTCCATGGTGCATCAGCAAAGCTGGGAGGAGAAAACAATTAACCAGCTCTGGTGAGTAATTAGGAGGGCTGGTTTTTAATTACAGCTTGTTAACTCTGCTTTGCCTCATGGCCATGCCTGTGCTCGGGACATGGGGCAGGAGGATGGCTTCAGAGCAGGGACCTCTGGCTCTCTCTGCTGGAAAACCACCCAGAAAAACCCCACATTTTTGCTTGATGTGTGTCTCGGTGGGGTTTTAGAGAAGACAAGCCAAGAAGACCACTTCCAGCAGGACCCAGTGCTGGGTGGGAGCCTGGGAAAAGCATGGTCCTCCTGTTCAGCCCAGCACGGGCAGAGATCAGCTTGGAGCCTGGACTGGAGAATGGCCGAGTAAACCCATCCAGAAACTGCTTCTGAAACAAGCAGCCCTGCTCTGTCCCTACACTGACACTTGCTCTGAGAGCAAACCAGCAGAAATTATTCCCTTGCCAGCTGAGCTTGCATGGACACAAGTGAACACCTAATGCCAGCAGCTCAGCTGGTTCATCTGCATTGTAAAAGCTGCCCTAGTGCCCCTGCCCAGTGCCAGGAGAGGATTTAAATCACTCCACGCAGCTCATGGATGTGGTCCGAGCTCCCTGCAAAGCCAGGGCTCATCACTATCTCACTCCGAGCATGGTGGGTTTGGCTGGGTCTAAATGCACAGGTCATTTGCATCGCTGGAGGGAATGGCAGCTGCATCTCCCTGAACAAGTCACTGCTGCAAGACCCTTCCCTGCCACAGCCAGGCTGGGAAACTCTCCCTCCCCACCAGTGCTCATCCAAACTGTTCTAGAAATGCCACGGTGCCTGGTCCCCCTATGCCAGGATCCTCGAGTGGGTAGGACAGGGCAGTGCCTGTGCCTGCACCCTTCCCCTATGCATTTCACTGGTGTAAACGTGGTCTGGATGAGGGATACAGGAACATTTATGCTCCAAATGTCCCCCTCCTCCTGTGACTCTGCTCTCCTGGCTCCTGTATGCAGCAACACACGGTGCTGGTGGTCCTGGACACTCGGATGGTGAACAAGCTAATTGCTTTATATGACAGGTTCAGAGATCCTTCTCCAAGGATCCCCAAGGGCCTGATGGAGTAGCTAATACCAGATTTCTTTTTTTCCCTTCCCTCCGCTGTCTCTTGCCCATTCCACTCCAACCCTCATTGTAAAAGGCGCAGACAGCCACAGTTTGGGCTCTGGGGGCCTGAAATGGGCACAGATTTCCCATCAGTGGCACCATCAGACAATTCTCACTTTAAGCCTTCAAGCAATGTGGTTTTAAGCACTGTCACTAGCACGGATGAATCTGTGGTCCTGTACAAATTTCAGCATTTTCAAGGAGATGCAATAATGCTGTTGTGAAGGGGTAGAGGCTGGAGCTGGAAAATGAGCCTGGGCACATGCAGGGATGAGAGGGTCAGGGTACCTGAATGGTAACGCGAGGTGTTTTTTCTCTTTCCCCTTAGCCTTAGCTCTGCAATCACAAAGAGAAATTAAATCAGATGTGGTTGATGTGACAAAGACCCTTGCCTGCCTTCTCCCCTCAAAACTCCCTATCAGGAACATGCACCAAGCAATCAACAAAATCCCATACACAAACATGGCAGAGGGAGATCTTGTGGGAATAAGACTTCCTAACCCACTGGCATTCAGGAAGCTGGGTACAGAGATAGTGACAGTACTGGTGGTGCTGGAGGAAGCAGGGAGGAGATAGAACAAGATAAAACGACTGACAGAAAAAGAGCATTGCTTTAGGATGGATGGATAGATTATATGGCGCTGAGCTGCATGAATGGATGGATGGGTGGGTGGGTGAATGGATGGATGGTTAGAGGGATGCAATGACACTGGGATGATTGCACAGATAGATCTGTACTTGGATGGATGGATGGGTGAGTGGTTCTTTGGATAGACGGATGGGTGCAATGGCACTGGGATGTATAAACAGATCCGTACTGGGATGGATGGATGGTGAGAATTGCTGTGGCAGATAGATGGAAAGAAATGCAGTGACATGAATGGATAGGATTGTATTGAGATAGGTCGATGGACAGATGGACAGATTGATGGATGGTGAGAAGTGCATTGGGATGAATGGATGGATGGGTTGATGGATGGGTGGATAGCTAGACACACAGACAATTATTATCCTCAAAGCTCCTTTGAAAGGCCCTTGAGTAGAAGGAAATATGTCCTCATTGGGCATAGGGGAGAACAGACTGAATACAAAGAAACCCTGCTCTTTGGGTGGAAGGAGATGGGGTGAACACAAGAAAGCTCTGATCCCCATAAAGAAGAGGACATGAAACAAAACCTTTCCTTGGTCCAAACGCCATGCAGGGCTTGGTACACCAACACACATATCACACGCATGCACAAACCATGCCCAAAGGGCCTGAGCAAAGCAGGGATACCATGTACCTGGGATCTTCAGGGTCTTCACTGTTTGGAAGAGACACAGCCAGGAGGATGAACGTGAGGAAGAAACAAACACCCCCAAACAGACAGACCCACCCCATGGCCCATGGGAGCTGGCCAGGCCAGGGGAAGGGGCTAATGGCAGCCACCACCCCCGGAGGATCCTGCTGGGCTGATGCTGAGAAGGTTCATTCAGGGCAATGGAGACCAGACGGCAAGGTCCCACATCTTCTCCACCTCCCCCCAAATATTGAGGAGTAGCAGTGAAGAACAGACTTACAGGGATGGGTTGGGGCTCAGATCATTGTCCTAGACTCACTCATGCCAGATAAATTTACTTGTGCAGATGTATTCTTATTAATGGTGCTTTTGGGAGTACACTAGTCCTACAGACGGAGTGACCATCATCATATTTTGTGGGATTTGGTTGTAGAGGGACCGTAAGACCTGCCTCTCCTTTGCCAGTGCTTTTGGGAGTACACTAGTCCTACAGACGAAGTGACCATCATATTTTGTGGAATTTGGTTGTAGAGGGACTGTAAGACCTGCTTCTCCTTTGCCTTGTGATATGGAGGAGGTTTGCAAGTGCAGCTGGGTCCCACTGAAAGCTCAGCTGCCCTACAGCTTCTCCTTCCTCGCAGGCTTCAAGCACTCAAGTGCATTGCAGAGATGCAGTGTTGTGATGCTGGTGCATCAACCATTGGCTTCATACAGCTTCTCCTTCCTCGCAGGCTTCAAGCATGCAAGTGCATCACAGAGATGCAGTGTTGTGATGCTTGTGCATCAACCATTGGCTTCGAAGTGCATTGCAGAGATGCAGTGTTGTGATGCTGGTGCATCAACCATTGGCTTCACCCAGGTCTGGACCACACACCCTTCTCTCCTGCCTTAAGATGTGGAAATTAAGGAATTAAGAAAGATTTGGAGCTTAAACCAGATTGCTCTGTATCCCAAATGTTGGGTATATTTATGCCTGGACAGTCATGTATTTGTGGGTTGTTGGGTGACTGGGATGGGCTGGGATGAAAGCAAACCACCCTCCTCCCAAAAAAGCCAAGATCCCTCCAGTCACGACATTTTGGTACCTTGCTACTGACTTGTATCCATCGTTAAACTTAATCCTGAGTGAGGCACCGAAGAGAAAGAGGAGAAAACAAGAGTAATATCAGTGTCAGGGCAAGGGAAACATGGACCTGGTGAGTGCAGATCCCTTCATCTCCACTTGAATAGTTTGGAGTCAATTTAGGTGCTAACAATCTCCAGGTGCTGGAGGCTCTGCCTTGGGACTCCCAGCAGCACCCAGTCCGTTGCTCTGAACACCTTTCCCGAGCCCTTTTCCTTCTTTTTGAGGTCCTCAGGATGCATTTTTTTCCCTAGCAATTTCACAGTACATTGGAAGGTTTGCAAATAGGATGGGGGAAACTTGATGGGTGCTGGTTGCTGGAGGCTCTGCCTTGGGACTCCCAGCAGCACCCAGTCCATTGCTCTGAACACCTTTTCCGAGCCCTTTTCCTTCTTTTTGGGGTCCTCAGGATGCATTTTTTCCCCCTAGCAATTTCACAGTACATTGGAAGGGTTGCAAAAAGGATGGGGGAAACTTGATGGGTGCTGGTAGTCTTTGGGAGACCATTTCACTTTTCTTTGCTCAGGATGAAGAGGACCCTGGATTGTGCTGATGGAGGCATTGGTCTGGTGTGCGACATCCCTAAGATGCGTGCCCAAATGCCACGCTTGAGTTAGCAATGTCAGACCCTTCTAATTTACTTGGACACGGAGGTTATGGACTGTCCACACCGGTTTTCCACAAAAACCAAGGATGGAGACACTCACATCCAAAGTCTGAGTCAGATCCTATGTGAGTAATCATCCCTTGGGAGATTCCTCTTGCTTTGACTATAGGG